CGGTTGGAAGTGACTACATAATTGGAATGTGCCAGAGTACAGTGTCCAAATTAACTTCCCATGTTCCTTTGCAAATGAAGAATTAGCTATGCCCTGAATTTATAAAATTTGATGTGGACAACTCGCAAAAATGTAAGGAGTGGTTTATGGAGAACTACAGAATACCCGGAGGTAAATAAAAAACCAATGCACATAAATATAAACACTTTTATGTATGTAGATATGTACATATATTGAATTTATGTACATCAACCTTTTTTGTATCATTTTAGTTATCGGATGTATAGATGGGACACAGCCGCTGTGGTGTAGTGGTAAGCAGTGCGCGCTTCCACTCCGCAACTCCTGGGTTCAAGCCCTGGTCAAAGCAACATCGCAAAAAAATATAGAAAAAAGGTTTTTTCTTAACAGCGGTCGTCCCTCGGCAGGCAGTGGCAAACCTCCGAGTGTATTTCTGCCATGAAAAACAGCTTCTCATAAAAATACAATCGCCGTTCGGAGTCGGCGTAAAACTGTAGGTCCCTCCGCTTTGTGTGACAACTTCAAGGCGCACGCCACAAATCGGAGGAGAAGCTCGGCCAAACACTAACATATGTGTAAGCGCCAATCTATTATTATTATTAGATGGGACACACATAGGTTTGCAGAAGCCAACCCAAAATGAACATATGTTCTTCAATAAAAAGGGCTCCCATAGTCTTAACGCTATGATAGTAAGTTTTTCATACAAAATATTAAATATTTGTTAACTAATACACATTTATTTGTATGCATACTTCCAAAGATTTGTGACCACACATACAAAATTGTAGCAATCAATTGCCAACATGGAGGAGCAGCGCATTGGCCATTAAATTCTTTTGTGTTGAATTCATCTTGTTGTAGTTAGTCCTTTATTAAAATAAATGTTAAAATTGTTAATACATTTACATTACCTTGAAAATTGCTTACATTTTAAAAATTCGCTTAAATTTAGCGCGCTCACGATTGATAGTTGCTGATTGAATGACATTTAGAAGGAACTAGTACGTCCAGTTACTCGTTCACGTCTGTCATCATACCGAATTTCGATAAATGTTGCTCGTTCACGACTGTCATAATCCGAAATTCACATTTTTAGATAACGAGTTGCTCGTTCACGACTGTGACGATTCGACGCCTGGTTGTTAACACCGTATACACTGAGAAAAAGGATTAGTTTCGACAACTAAAGATATTTAGTTTCCGAATTTTGACAATATTTGGGAACTGTTACCAAGGATTGGGAACTATTACCATGGGTTGGTAATTATAACTTAACTAGCTTATACCCGCGGGTTTCACCCCGCGCTTTTATACAAATATGAAAAATAATTTAATGATGTTAGATTTTATTTCTGTGCCCATTTCGTTATAGCTCGTTATTTTTTAAGCGAGTTAAGGTATTTAGGCCGTTTAAAACTATGAAATTATAAAATCTCGTCTGCTCGCTAGGCATACGAAAGATATCAATCCCTCTAAGTTTACCTTAAAATGGTTCCAGGCATACGACGCGGGTTCTAATATTTCCAACTCAAATTTAGTAACCTGGCCTTGATAAAATACCACTTCTCATTACTGTAGCAAATGCCTCTAGAGAGCTTTAGATTATAAGGCTGAACCCGGCTCTCCCTTTTCCATTTGATGAAATTTATTCTGTCAGTACGGCACTTATAAAATAAATCTCCATAACAAATTTAAAATACTTCGAGAGATTTTCTATCCTTCCAGAGATATGTATTAAGAAGTTTTTAGTATGTATGGGAGACGACATGCCTCCTTTTTTAATAACTCACATTTTTTCCATGAGCAATTGATACATTTTGCATACACAACTCCATACCAAGCTCCAGCATTCTTCCACAAACACTTCCAGGGATATGTGGCAAGAAAAAGTAAATTTGTACTGGAAGTGCCACGCCCCTTTTTCTTATAACCCTAATCTTCTTCCATGAATTTAGAATTGATTTTACATACCCCAGTACCAAGTCCCAGTACTCTACCTTGAACACCTTTAGAGATAAGCAGTATAAAACAGTAAATTTGCACGGGAGGAACCATGTCCCCTTTTCGAATAACGGAAATTTTTCTCCATGAGTATGGAATTGATTTTGTATACACATCTCGGTGCCAAGTTCCAGTCCTCTGCAATAAACACCTCCAGAGATATGCAGCATAGAAAAATCAATTTGCATGGGAGTTGCCACACCACCTTTTCCAATAACTCTCATTTTTCTCCATGAGTATGGTATTAGTTTCACATACGTACATACATATGTATTTCCATACCAAGCTTGAGTGCTTTACCCCAAACATTTGAAGAGATATGCAATATGAAACTTTCAGTCAGTATGGGAGGTGCTACGCCTCTTTTCCAAAAACGTCCATTTTTCTCCGTCAATATGAACATGATTTCACACAGTGTTGGCAAACTGTTAATCTGATTAACGATTAAAAATTAACGAATAAAATGTTAATCGCGTTTGACGATTAAAATTAATTAGTCGCAATCAACTGTACGATTAAGATAACATTTTTTAATCGTTAATCGCTGGCTGCGATTATGCTTAATTAATTTAAAACATTAATTAACGATCCAATTAAAAATAAAACCTGATTAATTTGTCTAGTTTGTCCGAGTTTGAAACCAAACACCAGTTATAGTAATTATTTTGTGTTTTACGCTTATAAAAAGCACATAATATAAAAAAATTATAATTATTGTTATTAGTAATACATAAACTGGGAACTTTTACAAACCTAGTTTGTAAAACGTTTGTTGGTATATATCTTAATGAAAATGCACACCAAATTGCTTAGATTGATGAGGAAGCCCGACATAGCCATACCGGATTAACTTGCTTTGTGTGAACAGGGAAATTCCAGCATAACTTAATTAATCGCCAAACTTGATCAAATTAAGAGTTAACGATTAAAAATTAATTTTTTAATCGCGGTTACGATTAACTGTTTAGTCAGATTAAAATTAATCATGATTAACTGTAATCAGATTGAATTTAATCGAATTAACTAACTGATTAAAACATCAATCGATTAATGCCATAATTGATTTCACATACATATCACTATACCAAGTTTCAGTTCTCTCCCACAAATACTTCCAGAGATATGTATGTAATATGAAAATTCCAATTTTTATGGGAGGGGCCTTGAGTTATCGGACTTACTTTCAGTCTAAGACCATCCTTCCGAAATCCGTAGTAAGTGTACTAAATTTTGTTCTGATCGGAAAACCGGTTAAGGAAGTAGCCTATTTTTCAATATAGGTCATAAACCATCTTTGAACAAAATTTCATTTTCAAACAGGTGGCAATTCTTAAAAAAGTAGGCTATTTTCCAGTCTAGGTCATAAGCTATCTGTGTGCAAACTTGCATGCAAATCAGTTCAGTCATTTACGCGTATTAATTTAATTAAACTTTCCTAATATGTGATAACTCTTAAAATGGTAGCCTATTTTCCAACATAGGTCATAAGCTATCTCTGTGCGAAATGTCATGTAAATCTGTTCAGCCGTTTCCGCGTATTAATTTAATTAAAACTTTTTTAACAGGTGGCAACTCTTAAAAATTTAGCCTATTTTCCACTGTAGGTCATAAGCTATCTGCTTGCAAAATTTCATGCAAATCCGTTCAGACTTTTCCGCGTATTAATTTAATTAAACTTTTTTATCAGGTGGTAACTCTTAAAAAAAGTTGTATATTTTTCAACCTAGCTCATAAGCTATCTGTGTGAAAACTTCCATGCAAATCAGTTCACTCATTTCCGCGTATTAATTAAATTAAACATTTCTAATAGGTGGCAACTCTTAAAAAAAGTAGCCTACTTTCTAACCTAGGTCACAAGCTATCCGTGTGCAAAATTTCATGCAAATCCATTCATTCGTTCCCGCATATTAAATAAAGTAAACTTTTTTAACAGGTGACAACTCTTAAAAAAATAGCCTATTAACCAATCTGGCTCATAAGCTATCTGCGTACCAAATTTCATGCAAATCCGTTCAGTCGTTTCCGCGTGATGATTTCCCAAACATCCAAACATACAAACTTTCACATTTATAATATTAGTAAGATATACTAAAGCTTCTAATATTCATCTAGGTTGTACCAAATCGTTAATTTAGTTGAAGGGTTTGGTAAATAATAATAAATATTTCTTTGAAGCATATTTCTACAAATTCCATTCAATTTAACGTATGGTTCATAAAAGGATGTAATTAAGCTCTGCTAATGCAGATAAGCTTTCTTTCAACACATGGTTTAGTCATAGTTACCAAATTTTAGTTGAGGCAACCACGATTTGGTTTGAGAGCGGAACATATTCATGCTTGTGAGCCACCCCTAAAGAATGCTGAGCGCTCTCTGAGCACATGTGTGTTTCACATACGAAGAGCGCCAGTTGAGCAATGCACGCCGTCCCACTTATTGAATCGTTTGAATGCGCTAGTATGCCGACCATTGCATAAAAACGATTCAATGAATGAGACTGTGTGCGTGGAAATCATTGCTCCGCTACCGCTGTTCGTATATAGGTGAAACACGCATGTGGTCACAGAGCGCTCAGTAAGCTATGGCGTGTCGATCACTGCGCTAGATAGAGAAAGAAAAGTGTGTGCTATGACATGCTCAGACTTGTTTGTCTCAGTTTCAGTTTTGCTATCGCCGCGAGTTGTTTTGGTGTGCGCATAGTTATTTAAAAATATAAAGATTGTTGCCAACCGGGGTTTCTCAGTGGATATATAATTCATGTTAATTATAATTTGAAAGTTTCTATTTAGCCAAGGAAAAAGGAAAGGAGTGTACTTAAACCAGCACTTCCAGCAGCAGATATTGACCTGAGTATTCGCACGACTGTTCCTGTTTTATCGTTTATTTTTAGGAAATTCTTACCACCATATTCATATGTATTATAAACACTAGTAACTATTTATGTAAATATTTATGTATTTTTTATGCTTAATATATGCAAATAAAAGAAGAAAATAAACACAACAACCATCGAGTAAATTTTTTTTGTGTCAAATTGAAACTTTTTTGCAATAATAAACGATTAGCTGATTCAAGTCTACAGCAAGTTCACAAAATTAATTGAAAACTTGTATCAACCAAAGCATTGTTTATATTCGCTCAACAATGATTTTATTCAACTAACAATATTGTCCAATCAAGGTAGTCGTTTTGTAATTATTAACAAATATACATTTGTCCCAACTAGAAGTCTGAAGTAAATTGCAGACTTTCGTGAACTAGATATTTATTTCGCCATATCCAACTATGCCACTTGGTCACTATAACCAAATCTTGGTAATTATAACTAAACCTTTTTCTGGGTGTAGAAGCGCGAATGCAGACTGTTTAGGCCAATGGCCTAAATTTGCTTGAACTTTCCGACCCACCCTAATTTCTGGAGCTTGGTGGCTGGATGTCTTCCTTACCGGATAGTCGCTAAACGAGTAAGTAAACCGTTTTTGGTTTTATTTACGGTTGCCGGTCGAACTGTTTATTTAACGAAAGTTATGGTTGCATATTTTCTTAACATTAATAATTAATGTTAATTAGTGTGTAACATACTTACGATCTTATGGTTGCCACGATCTGTTAACTACTATGTCAGCCCAACAGTTGGCAACTTTCCGCATTATTTCCAGCGGAAAATTTTTACGCTACCTGAACTCAACGTGTTGGTCGTAGCTGATCGAAAAGACTTACGCCGCTTATATTAAATTTAACGCCGCTTTGTTAGGTGGCAGTTGCAA